CGAAATTACGGAGAGGGTAAATTAATTAAAATAACCGAGAAAGCTGTTTGGCGCAAATCTCGCGCCGATTCTTTGCTTTTTCTCCTTCTCCTCCTTCTTTCCCCATTTCGTCTTTTATTTTCCTTCCTCGTCCCGAAGTTTCATTAAACGCGTCGTCGATGAAATGGACACGCAACTGCGACGATCGCGCTTTGTTATCGCGTGAAAGGGGCTCGAAGCTGCGCGTCGCGCGATAACAAAAGGAAACGGTGTCAGCCTAAAATAGATATACAGAACGGTCCGTCGGGCTCTTTCACCTCCTTTTTCTCCCCGATTCACCCCCGAACATCCAAAGATCGCTAAGTATTCCGTTTAGTCGACCGACTCGAGTCGAACGATTCGGGATGAATCGAGCGACTGGCGTACGCGTCCCCCTTCGCGTTTTACGTAGGCGTCGAACCGTGTATAACGATCGACCGGAACACAATGATCGAGGAAAGGGAGATGCTTCGATTCCCCGTCGGTGACACCTGATACCGCGTAATTAGATGGGTTTACCCGTGTCTCCGAGGGTCGAAGAGTTCCACGATCGCCGCGAAATCGGGGCACGAAGAATACCCAGATCCATCCGATGCCATATTTTTCGCTCTTCTACCCCGTAAAATCGTCCCCCATTATCTCCTCTCTCCAATCGTTCAACATTTCCTACCGTCTCTCTCTCTCTCTCTCTCGCTCTGTCTTTCTCTCTCTCTCTCTCTGCCTCTTTCTTCCCGCTAAATTTCTGAATTTCGTCGGAACGTTGTTTAAATCCGACGGTATTCCAGGAGAATCCGCGAAACGCTTCCACGGAGATCATCCATTTTTTTTTTTTTCCTCCTCTCCTCTTACCAAACACGGTAGCCCGACGAACGAAAATTCTGCCGCTCGATGCGGTATTTCGAAGCGTGTAAATTCAGTCGACTGAATTCTTTCATGAACCCCGTAACGAGCCAGGCGTGCACCGGCGATCCGTGACACAATGACAACGGCCCTGGGACGGTGTAATGCTACTGTACACACCGATACACGACGATCTATCGAGGGATGAAGAGGGTAATGAAGAGGTGTTGAACCGTATCCCATAAACCCCCATCATCGCGAGAACCAAGGGTCTCTTTGCATAATAACTTACAGTTCGCTCATCAGTTACGGGTTTTAACCAATTACGAGGATATTAATAGGGGAAGTTTGGCGGGGGTAGCCGGGCACGATCGTGTGTCCCAAAACACAGGACACACGGGGGATGAGTCTCGTTCCGCGTTCCTCGTCGTTCTATCGTTCGCCAAGGGATTTTCGTGCGTCCTGCTGCGTCGCGTTTTCACCCCTGTCGGAAATATTTGTTTGCTTTCGTCGATATTCGCCCGGTATGGCCACTCGTCCCGTCATTCCGCACTTTTCATCCTATATGTTTAATATTTAACAGCCCGGTAGATTTTTATCGAGCCACGAGACTCGTCCGATTTTCCATTGCTAATTTTCCCCGTTTCGTATTTCAATTTTTCCTCCGCGATCGCCTACAGACGGAGAGAAACGACGCGGATGCTCCCCGGAGGAAGCCGGAAACGCGAAATTTCCCCGTGAATGCCGATTAATCCTGCGCGAGGAGGGCAGGTACGGAGATCTGGAACGATTTCACGGTTGCACGAATTTTACGCGACGATTTCCTTTTTCCCCGAGGGATCGGTCGAAAAACCGGAATCGCGGTGAAGCGAGTGAGCCGTGGAAGGGAAGGCGGTTACTTTTGTGGGCCTCGTCGATCGCGTAAGGCCCAGTAGCAACGACTCGTGAAACAGCGTGATGCCGACTCCAGGTGTTAATAATCCTCCCCTAATTGTCGCGCCTCCGGCCCGGATAATTCCCATTAAACGCCGCTAAATACTTGTTTGTATACAACCCCCGCTGATCGGCCGGACTCTTTTACACCTTTCCTGAAAGGTAACGAAGGACTTCCCGCCGATCTTAAGAAGCAGCGTTTCCGTCTTCGATCGACGCGGAATAGGGGTGTAGAAAATTCCGGCCTTTCGATAGCGTAGCTTTTCTCTTCGCCGAACGATCGAACATCGTGGAAGTAAATGTCTAATTGTAAGCGAATATCCGAGTAAATAAATTCTAATTCTAGAATTAGAACGATCGATCGAATGTTTTCATTGGTCTTTCGACAGAGAGTAATTTTAACGAACCCGGAAACACGAAATTCCTTGTTGACACGTACACGTCGAGCGAGGCGTGCTACAGGGGTGGCACCGTAACGACCGGTGGCGTTTGATAAGGGATGGCGGACTGTGACGGTCGGATGAGCCCCGATTTAATGGATAGAGGACAGATTCTGCAGATACATCAGAAGGTCGGCGAGATATCTCGCGCGCAAATCAGAACAGAAGCACGTCGTCCTCTCTGTCTATCCCTCTGATAGGGATATCCTCCAACCCCTCGATGTTTCCACCATCCTCTACACACATCGATCTGTCTCTTTTCTCACCTTTGACTAACTTTTGCTCCGTCTCTCTCTCTCTCTCTCTCTCTCTCTCTCTCTCTTTCTCTCTTTCTCTTTCGCTCCCGATACCGGCTTTCTCCGCGAGGTCTCGCTCCTTTCTAAACGCGACAGATTGCATCGCGTCTAATGGCAGATGATGCGACCCTGCTGTCCTTTTCTCTCCCCCGCGACATTCTCTTTTTCTTTCTTTCTTTTTCCAGGCCGGATAACGCGTCGTCGCCTCTCTAACGCTGGTAGCTGACTGATCAGGCATCGAACGAACGATGCGACCGAGAGATTAGAACGCTCCTACCCTCGTTACGTACGTTACACCGGGGTTAAGCCTTCCTTTTCTCCTTTTTTCTCTTTTCCTTTTTTATTCTTCTCTAGGCCAATCGATGCTCTCGGGTATCACTGCGGCGTTGCAAATTTCGTTGCATCTCCGCGAATCTATAAGCGTCTAACACGAACTTCGCTAGTGGATAATATCGGCGAATCGAAGGTCGGTGTTCGATCTGGGAGGGGTGTGAAACGAAACGACAGACGGATTCATTGGTATCGATGATTTTATTGCATTGGATCGACTCATATTTACAATAGGGGACACATACATATGCATTTTCATCTACTCTACCGATTATCTACATATATAACGTTTCTTTATTTTCGCCGTTAATCATGCTTAATTAATTTGCCTCGTCGTTAATGGCGGCTTACCTAGTTCGTACGGTAGAAACGTGAAATACGAATCGATTAAATTCTCACCGAAGGAATCCGTTTCACTTGCGTTCGGGTACAGTTAAACCCTCGTTCGGAATAAAATGAAAGAAAAGGAGGAAAAGGTATAGGGAGAAGAACGGAATAACAAAATACTCTTAACTGGGTGGAAACGATTAATCCTCCGCTGGGTGGAACGAAACGAGGGAACGAGAGGATTTTCGAAATGGCGAGACGTAAATAAAAATGCATAATAAAGGAAATACAGGCGCGCGAGAACGGAGTACAGCGAGCCACTGTCTCCTTCGTTTCCTCTATTGCAAAGCTCTCGAAACGACCGCGCGTAACTCAATGGCCAACGATCGATCGCGAACGTATCTAGGCGTAATTTTACAACGGATAGTAATTAATGGCCAACGCTTTCCGTTCGCTGTTTCGCTACGCGTCACTTAAAAGCTACTATCACACCGATTTATACATTTCGCCTAAGTATAGATAAAGATAATGCGGCCAACGTGTCGTGCACGTTGCTCTACGCTCTCCGGAGAAACCAGAGAAAGCTTCTCACGCGCGGGAGAAGAGAAACGAAAAGATCGCGTCGATCCCGAAGATCCTCTTTTTCCTGATTCGACTTCGTTTCGATCGAGTCGTCGCAGATTCCCGATTTTTCCATTCCGTTTATCGTTCCCCTTTTCGTCTCTCCTCGTCTCTCCTCTCCCACCCCCCCTCTCTCTCTCTCTCTCTCTCTCTTTCTCTCGTCGACAATTTCCACGCGCCGTTGATGGCGCCGTAACGAAATCAATCTCTGTCACAGGTACAAATATTTACAAGTATTTACATAAATAAGTAATCATCTCTCGCAGGATACCATCGATCGAGCTTTCATGCGACGATTAATTCGATATCATAGGGAATCCGGTGTCCAATATAACGATCGCGCGAATACACGCTTATATCCCTGGCTCCTCTCTCCTATCTGTTGATTTACCTCCCAGCGCGGTTTATTTCGCCCGATGCCACCGATTATTTGCGTTCTCCGATATATTCACGCTCGGTGTTTCGCAGCTGGCAACTGCTCGTTCGGTTAAAATATCATTGTCCCGCCGGAATTGTCCGCGACGAATCGTCTAATTCGATTACTCGTGCTGTTTACCATAGGCGTTTTTGCCGTGGCCGTCGCGTGGTCCGGTTCATCCTCGAAATTAAGAATATTCCTACTCCCGTGCCGTGGAAATGCGCGTTTACACGAACCGATGCACCCGTATCGTCGTCGCTCGTCCACGTTCTTTCAGCGAGGACACGGTGTTTTACCGATCGCGAGGATCGCAGGGAAACGTTCCGCGATACAGGTGCATCTATTCGCGGCAGATTGGAAGAGTTTCGAAACGAGGTATCCGAGGAAAATCGTTGGAAACGATTTCGCTTGGTGACGGAACAGACCTGAGACTAGTCTTAAGATAAAACAGGAATAATCTTCTACAATTTGGTTTGCTGTAGATGAGGTAGTTGGTTGTCTCGAAACAATGCGGTAACACGCGTACACGTTCCCCATTTGTCGAAGTATCTGCCGCGTCTTTGGTATCTCTTCTATCGGTCTCCGTATCGAAAACGATTACTTTCGTCGTGGAAATCATCTCGATATCCTTCGTCCCGTTGATCACCCAAGTCCTTGCTCGTCGAGGCCCCTTCATTTCGAGGACTGCGTCAACTGGCCAATGTCCCCGGTGTAACAAGGTGGTCCAAGGATCAAAGGATACTGCGTCTTCCTCGGATAGTGTATACCGTCGCCTTGTCACAACATCTTGGTGAGGTAACTCGTGGTACCGGGCGGCGGGATCAGGAACGGGCTGAACGAATGGCCGCCCGGTCCATGGTGAACGGACGCGTAGCCGGACTGTTGGTTGTGACTCTGCGATGAAGTACCTAGGCCGTTTAGTATAGGTGAGCCGGTGTCGTGCAGCTTCCTCATGTGTTTCTTCAGGTCAAAGTTCCTACAGAACCCTTTGCCGCAGATCTTGCAGGAGAACGGTTTCTTGTCGTTGTGGGTGTGCATGTGGAAGGTGAGATTGTAGATCTGATGAAACGCCTTGTTGCAGATGTTGCACTTGTGCGCCTTTTCGCCGCTGTGCGTCAGCTTGTGATTCTTGTAGTTCCCCTTCTGATGGAACCCCTTGCCGCAGTGCTCGCAGACGAACGGCTTGTAGTTATCGTGGATGCGTCGGTGCGTGTTCAGGGTCGAGCTACGGTTGAAAGCTTTGTGACAGGTCGGACACTTGTGCGGCTTCTCCGCCGTGTGGATGATCTTGTGCCTGCACAGGGTGCTGGCCTGGCGGAAGCCCTTGCCGCAGATCTTGCAGACGAACGGCCGCGCGCCTGTGTGAACGGGCATGTGTCTGGTCAGGTTATAGTGGGCGTTGAACACCTTCCCGCATACGGAGCAGGTGAAGGTTTTCTGTTTGTTCGTGGTGCTGCTGAGCTCGTTGTTCCGCGGACCGGGGCTCTTCTTCTCGCGCTGGCTCTCGGCCGTGATGGCGGCCAGGCTCATCTTCGAGAACGCTTTGTGGATGGTGTTGGGCATCGGCGAGTTCTGCGGAACGGTCGGCGTGGTGGGTGGCGGCGCTGGGAAGGCGTTCAGCAACGAGTTCGGATGATAGTAGAGAAGAGAATAGGGTTGCAGGAGATTCTGATGCCTCAGCGTTGGCACGTACTTCTTGAAGGCCGATTCCAGGTGAGCGGAGTAAGTTAACGAAGGGATGCTAGGCGGCGGAGGTTGCGGCGGTGTCGTTTGCTGATTACTGCTCTGCTCGGTGAGACGTTTGTCCGGTTCCATGATCTTCGCGATAGAGAAGGTCAAGTTCTTGCAGGGTGCCGGCGAGGTAACCCTCTCTGGCGGAAGGCTGGTCGGTGTTTCGGTCGCCATTGTGCTGCCGGTCGAGAACGGTTGCATGGTAGAGACCTGCAATGGAAACGCACCAGGATCAGTTTATTTTCCCGTCGTACAGGTATTCGGTTTGTTTTCACGGTCGAGGCCACAGGGGGGATTTCACGGGTATGGGCAACGACGAACCCAGCCCTGTATTTAACACCGCCCATTTACGATTCGGTGACGCTAATTTGTGGCGTTCGCTACGTAAATGCGAACGACGTTCGAGAATTATGAAACGAACAACCATCCGGGTTCTTCGATTTTATCCTTGTCGTACGAGCAACCTCCGTGCGATTATCTCCTATAGGTTATTTCAGAGTCGCAATTTTCGAAGGTAAATTTTGCGGGAACGAAGGAATACGTAGGATGAACGGCGAGTTATCGAAAGAAGGAAGAAAAAGGAAAGAGGAGAAAGGAGAACGATGTTTAAAAATCCATGGTAACCGAATGGACTGGTCCGATTACTGGCACGATACGCAGCGTACGCGAGGCTTCAGCGGTCGCATGATGGGGGAGTAGCCAAATCATGGCGATCAATTTGATGACTTCGAGGACTGTCGTTAGTGGCCGCTACAATCCTCCCTTCGCAGAAGTCTGTTAGCGTTTTAGTGCACGTACACACGCGGAGAACGAGCGGAACGGAACCCACATGTCGGCGAATCCGAGTGAAACATGTGGTACCGCTATTATATCCACTCAATTGGCCCTCGTGTTGACATAAAAAAAGTACGCTCCGCATTGAACGATGGGGGCTGGCAAACGTCGAACGGCGACGAGGGAATGCTCTGTTTCGCACTTGGTCTCTAAGCTAAACGCGACTAAACGTCGTCGACTTTTACCATTCTTTCTCCGCTTCTTCTTCGCTTACGTTGAAATTGCGGAAATTTCGCGAGAGAGGAGGCAGAACCCTTACGGCAAGGACGAATCGCGTAATCGTGGCGTGCTGCGATACCGTTCGATATAATCACGTATGCATACGCAATTTGAATGTTGATTCGCGCGCAAAACAGCATGAATATACAGGTAGCCATTAAGCATGTGCAACATGGAAAAGGGGGATGAATGGCGGGGCTGAATGAGTCGCGAAATGGTCAGCACAGTTGAAGAGCAAGCTTCCCCGAGGTATCACGAAAGGTTTGCACGTCGAAAAGTAGAAATGTTTGCTCCGTAGAATAGCGTTATGTTTGGACTTGGAATGACGGTTGGAATTGGATAGGACCGCTGGCTGGTGGCTTCGTAAAACACTCGTTTCTCCTCCACCGAGCCTTACACGTCCTCCGCGAGGCGGAACAAAGATGGAGAATTCTCGCGTGCACGTACGCCGAGGAGAAATCGTATCTGGTCGGGAAATCTTCGAGGAGATATAAATTCGATAAGCGTAACGCGACGCGAAAATTGCAGCAGCGACAGCGCGAGATATCCGGCGTGGAACGGGGAGAGAGCAAACGCGATGCTTAACCACGATGAAAAATGTATGCTTCCAGAAACGATGGAAATACCGAACCCCCGTCGACAGGGTGGAATATGACGCAGTGGTCCTGCCCAAAAGCTCCGCCCATTAGCCGGTACCTTTCGATTGTCCCAGAGCGAAAGGCAGCCCTAATAACCGGGGAACAAGGAGCGGAAAAGCAAGGCCGGTGTGAGAAGCGAGACTCGAGAAGGGAAACGATCTCCTCGCGCACCCCCGAAACGCCCCTATGACCTATAGAAAAGCGTAGACGTCGACTTCGTGGAGCCATGGAGCCGCGCAACTGTCGACGTAAATGACAAAGGATACGATTATGTGCCTTCGAGTGCCTGCAAACGCGAGCTTCGACTCCAACCCTCCTTCCTTTCGTGCCAACTTCGATTTCCACCCCTCGCTCCTCTTCTTCTTTTCCCTATACTTTCTTTCAAACGCCTTTCTCGCACAGTCTTTCGCTCCCTTGCTTAATCGACAGTTTTCTTCGCTCTCTACTCTTTGCACTTTTCCCTCTCTGCCTTTGCTTCGCTCGTCTTTTTCGCTCCTTTCTCACCCTTTGCGTTACCTTTCTCCTTCCTCGGCTTTTCCTTTACGCCGATCTTCTCCCTTTTGCGATTCAAATGCACCTTCTATCTCTCTCTCCCCCTTTTACGCCGAGCGTGTCACACCGACTCTGCCTCCTTGTCTCTCGCGCCCCACAGAGGCAGACCTCCACTCGGTGTATCCCTCTTTCTCTCCCTCTCGCTGGCTTATCGTCACTTGCCGTTTTGTAACCCGTCGCGGTCGAACCGGCGAGAGAAGAAGACGCGAAATGCGGGGTGAAACGGTGGGGATCGAGGCAACGGGATTGGCCAACGGATCTATCACCCTCGGAAAAGTGACACGAGAGGGGAGAGTCGTATGGGACGTGGTGGGGGGTAGTATTGTTACAGTACTTAACGAGCGGTCGAGGTAATCAGTATTGCTCCTTGCGGCAGCCGACAATTCTGCCAATTTGCTTCAATCTCGGCTGAAGCATGGCCGACCCTACTCCGGGACCATTTTGTTTCCATCTTGCTCGATTGCGATCGATCCCGGCCGAAATTCGCCAATTTTTCACCACCCGTTTCTCCACGCGTCACAACTCGCGTCCCAACTCGCGTCCATCTTCTCACCCCCTTCGCTTCCCCGAGCCTTCCCGACCCTTTTTAAATACGCCTGTAACCACCTACGATCGATGGGAATTTTTGAGGGGTTGTTTAACCGGTCGTTTAAGGGCTTGTTTATACGTTCGCCGAACGCGTGGGTACCGGCGAAGAATTTTTGGAACGCGGCAAGGACGGTCGCGTGGTCGATAGGAAGGGTTGAAACCGGTACCCGGCTTTCGTGAGCCACTCGATGAACACGGCAGCACCCCCGCCGTTCCCATTCCCACCCCCGCCAGGTGAGGTTGGCGTTAAATGTACAAAGTTTACCGATGCGATTACAAATCGTCCGAAGAATTCAATCACCTACAGTAAACTATCAAACGGCTACGGGCGAATCGCTGGGACCCGAAGAAACTTGAAGGAGCTCGAAGGAACTTGAAATGGCTTTGCAAATTTACCCGTCCCGTTGTCGACCCATTAATTATCCCCTACCCTACCCCTATCCGACCGATCAGCCTTTCCTTTTTCTTATTCCACTCGATTCTTCCTTGTTTTTCCCGCCGCGTCTAGGTTGCAGTTTCCGACGGGCTCGGACCTACCCGACGTATCGGGGCTGAGTTATCGATACGTAAGAGAAATTTTAATTCCATCGAATGCGAAGTGGTTGAAAACGGATCGACAGGTTTATCAAGATAACGCGGTTAACCCCGAAACGGTGAGCAAGGATGATTCGAATCAGCGAGACTCCCCGATATGAACATTCCAAATCGGAAGGGGTGAAAGTGGGCGGATAGGAGTTTTGCGTGTACAGAGTGCATCAATCAGCGGGTCCTTCTGCGAATAATACCAGCTCATGAGGTCACACGCCTATCGCTCTTTTCCCTTAAGTGGCGATAAGGAAATGAACCGGCCCGGACGAATTTCGCCGCTTAACTTTATTACGATCGCTGCTTAACCATGGAAGATAGCGTGAAAATGTGTCGCGCGATCTATCTGTCGGGCGAGAAGGAGCGAAAATAATGAGGGATTAAACCGCCAGGGAAACGGAGAAGAATCGAACGGACTGGAAGCGAGAGAGGAGATTCTCGTTCGAATTAAAAGCTGTTTCCCTTTGCCGGATGTGAAAGAAACGACGCAGTTCTCGCGCGAAAAGCTGCCAGACACTGTGTAATTTTTATTAGAACGTCTCAAGGTCCGGGCGACGTCTTTGGTGTGGAAGAGGCCCATTAGCCGGAGCCACCCTCATTGTTCCATCCCTGACACTCGGCCTTCCGTGATATGGCGCGTGAACGGTTGACATATAATTAGCATTTGGGGTAACGAAAGCTCGACTGAGGATGACAGGAGGCACAATACACACCCACTTGGTTATCCTCTGTCCCATAACTCGGCCACAAACCCGCCCTTTCTGTCCCGTTCACCCGGCGGGTGCGCGTCGCGTAAGCCGATTCGAAAATTAGCCGGCTATATAATCTTTCCGACCGTTTCCACCATCTCTCCGCGAATTTTTTACCTCTCTCGCCCCTCGTCTTCCCTCCTTTCTCATCTGGAGCATCGACGAATCGCGGACGAACGGGTGGATACGCGGCTGAAAAGAGCGAAGAGTAGAGACGGTAGGTGAATTTTGTATTCGCTCGCGAGGGTGGTAAACCGGCTGGAATTTGAATTGCAATTGTGCCGAGAAACGAGGGTGAAACGAAAACGATCTCGTGCGTTTTTTTTTTTTTCCCTCTTCTTCCGTTTTTTCCTTCCTTTTTTTCCCCCGGGAATTTAAACGCGCACCATGACTCCTGATTTCGAAGTTTCGCGTTATGAGGAGGACTCGCGGAGAGGGTGATTTAAAGTTAATTGGAGAGTGGCGGTGGCAGAGGCGAAGAGAGGCGAAGAGGAATAAATTGCGAGTCGCCTCGCACGAATCGGAAAGAGGTAGGGGGCCCCCGGTGTTATATTCCGCCCTGGTGTATTCTGAATTAAGTCGCTCAGTTGTGCGCCGTTTACTTTGCTCCTCGACTGCTCTCGAATCGTGTACGGGGGAATGGCTTAATTTTAAGCAACTTTTGCGGCCGTTCCGCCAACTTTAAATCTACCCGGCGAACAATGTTGCGCCGACATATGCACGCGCCAACGACATGTCTCGATGATACCTGAAAATTACCTTCCGTGCATCGCGGCTATCTATCCGCCTTGAATTTCCTCGCGAGCCAGTCGTACTCGAGGGTACTATCCAATGGCACACCTGCAAATTAATTCGCGACGCGTTATTGAAATCGGCGTCTTCCTGTCCGGCGGTTCCCCTGTTTTCCTCGCTGTTTAATCGAATTTTTCATCGGTCGAGACTCGCCTGTTATCGAATATTACCGGAACAGAGAAACTCGAGGGAAGAGACAAAATTTCAGTGGGAAAACGTAGCTTGGAACAAAAGGGGCATTGTTTAAAACGAA